TTTTAATTATTATCAATTCAGTTAGGTTTTATGACAGTAAATCTATTTTGCTCATATTTGTGAGCAGAAAAAAAATCAGTTTTCAGTTTTCAAATTTCATTTTCTCTTTTTTAATATAATAAGAAACTAAAAGCAATCAATATGCATTAAAAGTGTAACGCGCATTATTGGCATGCTAACAGTAACAAAATTTAAAAAAAAATATATATAATTTCTTTTCTAATTTATTTTTTTTTTATTTTTGCATTTCATATCTAGTTTTGCCCAATGTTTCACAACATTTCTTCCTGATTGGTATTAAAAATTTTTATTTCAAATACTAAAAACTGCATATGTGGATGATAAAGTGCTATAATATCAATGGACTGTAATTAGTAATTAGGGCAATCACCAATTCATGAAATTATTTAGCACTAAAATGAATTCAATCAAAATTGACGCTTTGAAGGTTTAATCCGTTATTTATTTTAATATCCAATTTATTATTTTTCTATTAAATATAACAATTGTTTTTTTCTATTAAATATAATAATTGATTGTAACAATTGATCATCACATTAGTTAAGTAAATAATAATTTTGTTAATACAAAAAAAAAAAAAAAAAAATTGCCCATAAAATAAGGTCAAAAATAATTGAACAAATATAGGATTTATTCTGATTATTAGAGATTATGGAATTTGCTAAAAGTAAGTAAAATTTGAGGATGTATATACAAATTAATACTAATTCTTTAATTTTGTTTTTACTTTACATTAATTTTTGTCTACTAAAAGAATAATGAATTTCTTAATGATAGTGTTTATAATGATAGTGTAATTTGATAATACAAAAAAAGAAAAGGAAAATAAAAACGATATATTTAAACATAATTATCGTTGTGATATTTTTGTTCAATTGCTTTAATTGATTAAAATTGTGCAAAAATAAATGATAAAAAAAAGATAACCGAAAGAAACGAGATTAATAATTATTTAGGGTCAATTTTTAAACATTTTTTTTTCTATTTCTAACTTTAAGACAATTTTTTTGAAATATTTCATATATGTTGAATAAAATGAGTAAAAAATAACTTTTTTTATTTCGTTTTTATCAAAAAGAAAACAAAAACATCATAATTGTTAATTATATAAGAAATTTCTATTTGCAAAAATTTTTTACAGAAATTCAAAAATATTGATAATTGATCTAGTTTTTCATTCATTTTTTTAGCAATCACAATTTTCAATTGTTGAAATGGTGACATTGATGAGAGGCACTATAGTAGAAATTGTTTGTTTGGCATTCATATTCATCTTATCATTTTTTTATTTGAATGGCACAAACAGTAGTAGATGATACACCAAAGCAGAAATTTTAATTTATTTCAATGATAAATTTATATAGATGAACTGTTTAAAAATCTTGTCAATTTCTAACTATTTTTTTTTTGAAAGAAAATTCAATTTTCATAAAATATTATTCAAAATTTCATGCATTTTTTTTTGGCTGTGAAATAAATTCAGTTTTGTAATTGTAAATTATTGTCGATCTTATCTTTTTATCATTTCTCTATCTCAGTGATTATATTTCACTTTTGTACTTTTCTTTATTTTTATTTCTCTTTTTTCTTATCATCTTTATTTTTTATTTTTTACTTCACACATTCATAGCTGTATCAATCAAATGATCATTTCTAGCATTTGTTTGTTCTTTTTTTTCTTTTCTTTCGTTCAATTTCATTTTTTCTATGATACACTTTTTATTTTTTTTTCTCAAAAAACAAAAATAAAAAAATTGGCTATGATTTGAAAAATAATGCAAAAAAAAAACTTTTGATAGGACATAAAATGTTTTTTTGAGCACATAATTTATTTTTATTTTTTAATTGAAAATTTCCACTTCATTCATAGGTAGTATTGTCCCTCTCACCCTCTCTCTCCATTTATTGTAACTTTTTTCTTTGTCATTAAATTTTCATTCCTTCATTTGAATTTTTTTAGTTGAATCCAATTGCCTCAAGTAAAACACCGCAGCTTGCTTACTTTGCAAAAAGAATAATTCAATTATAACAATATGCTGAAACTTTGAGAAGTGAAAAAAAGTGATGATAAAGATGAGACAGAGCAATTATAATAAAATAACGATCTTCAAAATTTTTAAAATTATTATTGTTATTATAGATTGTCATTTCCAACTGACAACAAATTTATGATGTACAATAATTTTTTGTACCACAAATATGAAATTTGAAAATTAATTTGGCTCTTTAAAAATATTTTTAATCCTCGTTAGTATTTCATCTATCATACGCATTCACTCCTTTTTCCTTACTTCACTTTTATTTATTTATTTTTTCGGTCAGATATAATATTTTATCAAATTTGTTTTGCAAAATATAAAGGAAGGAATGATTGGCCATTATTAAGCACACATTTAAAAGAGCCATATATGTTATTTAGCTTTCTTGGCTTTTTTCAAGAGGACTTATACAATCATTACTTAAATGTTATAATCACTTGTACTATTTGCTACTTATGCCTTAAATTTAAATTATCCATTAAATGTGAAAAAAATTTTTTTTCCTTCCACATAAATTATAAGAAAATTTCATGAACTAGAAAAAAAAAGACTAAAAATTGTTTTTTTTTATTGTGAAGATTTCAACCTTTTTCATCAGTCAATTTGCTGTATATAGAAAGTAAATTTTTATTCGCATTTCTTTTTTCTTCACCTTTTCTTTTTACTCCATTCAATTCAAATTAACAAATTTTAATCAAAAATATGATTTTCTGTTTTTTTTTGCCTTTTTCTTTTTTTTGTAACAAATAAAAGAAAATTAAATAATCAAATTTTAATAATTTTTTTCACTTTTTTCTCTTATTTTTTCTTTCTTTTTTTCTTCTCTTTTTTTCCTCCAGTATTTGATTAAATAATATATGTTCAATTTACCACTTAAATAAACTTACTATTTAAATAAAAGAAAGGGAGTAAAAGGAAATTTGATCAATTTTTGCATTTTTAATGGAATTAAACAAAAAAAAAAAAACGAGAACTGGATTTCAATGTCAATCTTTTCTTCCATTTTTCTTTTTCCTCCTTTTTTATTTTTTTTTTCCTTTTTTTGCTCTTATAGCACTCAAATGAACTTATATGCTTTAAATAAACTTACTGTAACACTTTTCATTTTCTTTTGTCATCTTTTTTTTCTCTCTCTCTCTCCTCCTTTTCAATATTCCATTCAATAATCTTTTTTTGTTGATTTTACACAAATTTTTCAATATAAATATTTGCATATAGAAAATTCATTGTTAGTTGTTTGTTAGAAGGTGTAAAGTGTTTACCTACATAATGTTATGATTTTAAGGCAATAATAAAATTAAACACATTTTTCTTTTTTTTAAAATTCTTTATACATTTCGATTTCAAATAAATGCTAAACAGAAAAGAGAAAGAAAATATTATTTATATATCTAACAACTCTTATATGATGTAACTTTTTTAGATATTTTAAAATTTATCACCAATAATCTTCATTAATATTAATATTTATTAAATAAACAAACATTTTTGCGCTTCTAAATACATTACATTTTTGTGTATGATAATAACAATATTATTTACAATATATATAACTTATATATGAGATGCTGACTGTCAAATGATTTAATATTTTAGTATTTCATTAATAATATTCTTACAATTAATAATTGTTTATTCATTTATGCCAGTGTTATTATGTTACACATTATGAGATAAATGTTTACACTTACATATTCAAAACAAAAATTTTTGTTTTATTTTTGGATTAAATTATCACATCATCGTTTCTTTTTTTCTTTTCTTACTAACTGTTCGTTCTCATCATTCTCTTTCTTTTAAGCATTTTTTTTTTTTTTTGCTTTTTTTAAATAAAAAAAAAAAGAAAAAAAAAAGCAGCACCGGAAGCTCATCATTTTGAAACTTGAGAACTCAGGAATGATTAAATGGAAGTTATCATATATATACAAATACGTGTGTATGTTCGTTCGTGTATGCGTCTGTGTGTATGTAAGCATGTATGTATATATGTATATAAATATATATGTGTGTGTATGTGTGTATGTGTGTATGTGCGTGTGTGCGTGTGTGCATGTGCGTTTGTTACGCCTCACTGATTGCGTTTCACAATAAATAGTATGAAAATTACGAAAAATGAAGCATAATGAAAAGAAGAAAGAGTTTTGTTGAAAAGCTATATTACACATCAGTTCTTGATATTATCTATCATTCATTTAGTTGCATAAATGAATATTGAAAAACATTTCAGATTTCAGAAAAATTTCCCCATTTTTCCCTAAATTGAATTTTGATATTTGAAAAAATCGAATTAAAAAAATTAAACATCTAATATTTCTTGCCTTTACTATATCTATTACTATTATTCATTTATTTATAAAAAAAATTTCAGATTATATAAACATATTTAATATTTGCTTTATTCAATCATAAAAAAAGAAAAATAATAAATTAAATTTGATGCATTTATTAGTGAAATGAAAAAAAGTTTAACTTCGCTATTAGGTAAGTAATAGGTAATAATAGTAATAATTAACAGTAATAAAAATAATAATATTATTAATATTAATAGTAATAAGTAATAATAATGGTAATAATAATTGGTAGAAATGGTAATATAAATAACGTTGTTAATATTAATATATTGGTAATAGCAATAGTAACATTAGCATTAATATCGTAGATGCAGCACAAGCATATTTCCAATAATTGATTATTATTCAATTCCAAGTAAATAATTAAATTGTATGTAATTCAGTTCTAAATATATTATTAGTTCTAAATAAGTAGAATAATAATTTATGTATATTTCATAAAAATAAAAGCATATTTCCGGTGCAATTTTAAAAAAATAAAGAAAAATTAATTTTTTTCAGCATTCAATGACTGAATTTGGATGTAATTGGAATTATTGCATTCTATTAAGCAATACTTTGATTCAACTTGTAAAATAAAATTGAAGAAATGACGACAATTGAACTCATATCAAGTAAGTTTCGTCTCAACTTTTGTCATCAAATTTATTTATCTATTATTGCTCATTCTCTCCCTCTCTCTCTCTCTCTCTCTCGCTTTCTTTACTTCTCTTTACCTCTCACCCTATCTTTTTACTTTATGGAACAAGGAGTGCAAGAGAGAGAAAGGAAGAGAGAGAAGGGAAAAGGAAAATAAAGTGCACAAAATGGAGAGCAGAAAGAAGAGTTACTTTTATAATAAAAAAACGATAAGAGTTGTTTATGCTTATATATAAGCTATAAGAATAAATAAATTAAATTGAAAATACCTTTTCAATTTAATTATAGGAATAATTGAATAACTTTAATATAATTTAAATTATTTTTATTTCTTTGTTTTTCATATTTTTCTCTTTTGCTCATCTTTCATTCTTTCTTATTCTTTCCTCTGTTTCTTGCATAATTCCATTCTTTCTTTAAAAAAAATTTCTTTCATTCTTTCTTTTCATACTCAAACAAAAACAACTGCTAAAGAACCATTTTTTAAGTATTTTTAAAAAAATTTTTAACTCCTTACAAATTTATTAAGTAAAACGATAATTTTCCAAATTTCATTTATCGTTTTATGGCTGTTAGCAATGGCAAAGCATTTGATATAAATATATCATTTTCATAGAAAAATGATATATTTTTTATCTCTTTTCTTTTAAAATTTTCGAAAAATTTTTCTTTTTTGTTTCAACATATTTTTCTGTTCTCATTTTTTCCTTTTTTTAAAAAAAATTTTTTGAATTTATTGTTATTATTGTTTTATTTATATTATTATTATAATTAATACCGCTATTATTGATATTATTATTGTTACTATTATTATGTTATTATGGAAAAAATGAGGCACAATTTTGTTGACACTATTTAAACATTCCATAAATATATTTTGCTTTTTGATCTTATCATTTCTATCGATATGATTTATTGTTATTTCTTTCTTTCCTCTTTTTTTGCTTTCTTTTTATTAACGATCCTTTTAATCTGTTGTGATCAAATCAGTGCGCTACAACAACGATGGTATAATTCCATGAAAATATTTCCAATAATATATGCTATTTTCAAAAATAAAGTGCTATAATTTAGGCGGTTTAAATTTTTTTCAAAATTTGAGACGAAAGAGGAGGAGAAAAAGATGAATGCATTTTGAAAGTACAAATTCATTACGGATTATTATTTTTTTTAGTTCTTCCTGTTTTTTTGTTCTTTTTGTACTAATTATATGTGATTATACATTCGTTTTGAATACATGCTATTATTTTAAAGATTAAAATTTAATTCTTATTTCAAAATATAATTTGAATTCTATTTCAAATTGGTTAGATCATCCTTCTATAGCTAACTTTATTCTTGTTTCAGAACAGTGATTTGAATTCTATTCTCAGTTGATAATAAATTTTAAACCATCGATTAATCTGTATTGTATGTTAAACTTTGATTTAAATTTTATTTCTTATTTCAAAGGTTTATAGATGATTAGAATAATATTCATTCTTCGAATTTTAATTCTAGCTATCTATTATTAAGCAATATAATCAAAATTATAATTTTAATTGCTTATTAATTTTGCTCCATTTTTTCTCATAATGCAATATTATTATTAGCTGAATTTCTAATTGTTGTATTTAATTCGAATTATAGTATTTATTTTATTTTAGTGATAAAATAAGCATTTTGCGAATTTTTCAAAATACTTGTCATTTGATTAAGCTCTATTATTTCCATATATCTAGAAAAAAAAAAAACTTTTTTAAGCATAACAAAACTAAAAAAAGCAAATTTATTTTTGTTCAACTATGAAGCGTAAGATGTTTTTAAAGTTTGGAGCTTAGGTGAATTTGATTTCTGGCAAAATTTTCCTTCATCTCTACTTACTTATCTTTGCCGCCTAACTGCAAGACAATATTACTTTAAAAATAGATCAATTTGCTAATATGAAAAAGCTGAATTTAATATATAACTACTATGAGATAAAGCCTAGCGCTAAAGTATTTGATCGTGTTTTAAAGAAACTTTCAAGGCTAGAGATGTTTTATTTTCGGCTTAAGGAAATTTTGAGATTAGAGTTGTTCAACCCAATCATTGACTTAAGAAAAGTTTAGGGTCAGAGATGATAGGCAATTTCAGGACAAATTTAATTTGAGTTTAAGAAGTTTTCGAGGTTAGAGATGCTCAATTCTTGGCTCAAAGAACTTTTGCAGTGTAAAATTTATGTCAATAGAAATTTGCTAAAAATCCATTGTCAGCTGTAATATTAATCTAGCTGTCATTCAAATATTTGATCAAATGAAAGGTGGAAAATAGAAATTATTCCAATTTTTTATTTTTTTCTAAAACAATAATAAGTACTCGTAAATAAAAAATGCCAAACCACACTTATAAGTATAATTTATTAACTGTATTGGGACAAAAATGATTATTTTATCAAAATATTTTGACAAACAAAAGACGAGACTTTCTTTTTCTCTCATTTTAGTTAAATAAAAACGAATGAATTTTTCTCAAATTTCAATTTTCCAAATGATCTTTTGTAAAAAATTAATCATTTCTCAGTGGTTTATTTATTTACTTCTTTTCTATACAAATTATTTACAAAAAAAAATTTTTATTGATATCTCTGTTTTTTTCTCTCTCTCTCCCTCATTTCACTAACAAATTATTAAATTATCAATTTTATACATCGTTTCTCATTTCCTCATTTTCTTACGTTCTAATCGTTAAGAACTTGCCATCATCTTTTTTTGGTATGTTTTAATTTTACTATAAAAATTTTTAACTTATTGAATTATGTAAATAGTTTAAAAATATTTTGTAAAGAAAAGAACAAAGAAAAAGGATAAAATTAAAAATTTTATTGTAATTATTTGAATGAATCATTTGCTCAAACGTTTCACCCAATGGCTTCTTTAAAAAAAAAATGTTTCTTGCTCTTTGTGTTTTTCTTTTTCAAAAATAAAAATTACTTATTTTCTTTTTTTTTTTCATTGCTATTCTACCAAAAGATTTTTTTCCTTTTTTGCAAATATTTGATTTTGAAAAAATGCAGTGCTTTAAACTTTATTAGAAGCATTAATGAAGAGCAATCAAGATTTTATCAAGAGTATTGCAATAGAAATTTGATAAAGATTTTCTAGAAGCTTTACGATAGAACAATGAGATTTGTCAAAAGTATAAAAATAGGATAATTAACTCCATCATCAACATTTTAATGAACTCTAATTACCCTATGGCAGTACTTTTAAGAGACCTTGATTATCTTACGTCAACACTTTTAGAGCGCCATAATTATTCTGTCGTAGTGCTTTTAATAAATTTAAACTGTCCTATCGTAATACCTTTGATAGGTTTGATAGGTATTCGCTGGTAATATTTCCAGTAATTTTAACTCTTTTATCATTAGTTCATTTTATTAATTGAAATTACCTTGATGGAATGATATGATTCTGCATGACTTATCCTAAATGTTCATTGATAATTGGAAGTAATTTGATTAGTCAATGATTGCGGAAATGTTTCCATTAATTGATTGCGTTGCAAATACTTCAATAAGTCCAATTCAACAATATGACATTTTAATTTGATCATGGGGAAAAATGTATATGTTTGTAATAGCAATTTGATTAAACGCCAAGAAAATTCTTCGTTTCTTTACAGTTTTAATTTTTCATTCCACTGAAAACATTTCAAAATACCAATTTTAATAATGTATGGGTATGAAATTTGTCATTTTTACTTTCATACAATGATTAAAATTTCTCTTTCAAACTATTACTAATTTATATTTCGAAAATATTAGCAAAATATTTCTACAGTATAGAAAATTTTCTTTTTTTCCTCAGTCTATAAAATGATTCAAAAAAAAGTGAAATTAACATATTCTGTTGTTTAATAAAATTTTTGTTTAAAATTTCGCTTCGAAATTATTTACGCGTTATCAATTTTTTATTTCACAATAATGGAAGAAAGAGAGGGAGAGAGAGAATAGGAAAAAATGAAATTTATCCAAGTTTTTATTTTTTTTAATATACTAAATGCATAAACATTCTCTCTTAGAGCGCATATTACGCAAAGCAAATATGAAGAATTTTTTTTTGCTTTAAAATATTCTTTTTATTATTTTTTCAAATAAAAAAAAACTTTGTCCAATAAAGCAGCGAATAATTTGTTTCAAATTTTGTTGAAATCAATAATAAAAGAGACAAGCAGCATATTTTAATGGTTTTAGATGCTAATTTATAATGGTAATTTCATTTTGATTCCACTATTTCTTTTATTTATTCTGCAAAACAATTAGAAAATATCATTTTCAGGTATGACAAGCCTCACCGAGGGTTTGAAATCAGATGAAAAAGACAGAGATATGTCGATTAGCTTTGAGGAAAAAAAATCGATGCCTGAGAATGCTGATAAAAGTAGGAAAAAGAAAAAATCTATGACAACAGAAAGAGATCAATGGTCGGGCCCATTCGATTTTATCATGTCAATGATCGCATATGCTGTTGGATTAGGTAAGATTGATAAGAAAGAGTAAAAGTGAGATAAAGAAATATTACTAAGTTGGATATTAATTTATTAATAATGTTAAGTGTGTGATTTTAGAAAAAGCAAATAAAAATTTTTTTGCGTTTTTTTTCTAAATTTTTTTTAGAATCTCGAAATAAGTAAAAATTTTTCAAATGTCACAGATATATATTTGGAGGAGAATTTCAAATAAACCAAGATATACTTTTATTTTGAACAATGTTGCTATTTATTCATGATTTTAAGTTATCATATTTATGAGCAATTATCGTATTAAATGAATGAAAAGTCAGTATTGATGTAATAAAATTATTAATTTTTTCAGCTAACTTTTTACAGAAAATACCAAAGGGATATTTATTTTGCTGAATATATGTTAAACAGTTTTCCTTTTTTAAATTAATTATTTGAGAATTTTTTAGGCAATGTATGGAGATTTCCATATTTATGTTTTAAAAATGGCGGTGGTTCGTTTTCTTTTATTTTTATTTTCATTTTTTCTTTCTTTTTTTGATGATCATTTATTATTTTTATTTTATTTCATATTCCAATAATCATTTTTTGACAATCGAATTTGATGTTTAATTTTAACACAATGAATAAACATTTGTGAAATAATTTGATGAATTGTTTATTAAAAAAAGTTTTTATGATTTTTCGTTAATTTGACAGGTTCATTCTTGGTTGTTTACATAATATTTTTCTCACTTGGCGCATTACCTGTGTTTATTATGGAAATTACAATAGGGCAGTATGCACAACGTGGCGCTATGGAAATTTGGAATTTATGTCCCTTATTTAAAGGTTAACCAAATTAATATTGTAATCAATTGTAATTATCATAATTTCATCTGATTCTTTGTACAGGTGTTGGTATCGGTAATGTTGTGATTGCATTTATGTGCATCGCATATTTTTGCGTTATATCAAGTTGGTCCATCTTCTATATGATCAATTCGTTGTCATCAGTCTTTCCATGGGAGACATGCAACAACTGGTGGTAAGTTATTCGTTTTTCATTATTCGTATTTTTGTAATCTGTCTTGGAGGATACGGTAACTTTTTGAATGTTCAATTTATCATAACCTATCCCGGTGCATACGGTAACTTTTTATTATTTACTTTGTCGCGGTCCATCGTAATGAATACGGTATTTTTTTGATAGGTCTTACTATTATAGCCTTTCTCGATGCATACGTTTAATATTTTTAATCTATATTTTGCTGAGTGATTTATATATGTTGGACATTTTTTCCATCTTTTTAATTAGTTATTTAAAACTTTTTTAGGTAATATATGGAAATACATGTATGTGCATTTTTTTCATGTGTTTATTTAACTTCCTTTAAAGTTTTATTCGTAATTTTTCTCAGGAATGATAAAACTTGCATAACTGGACATGAAGATGCAACAGTGATATCTGAAATTATTGCAAATTTGTCCAAATATAATTTAACTACTGAAACGAGCGTTGAGCAATACTGGGAGTTAGTTGAAATATTTCAACTGCAAGCTAACAGAATTTTAATGAATTATTTCTTTTTTTCCTTCTCAATTTAATATTTCATATCTTTGACAGCGTTCAAATATTGATTTAAATTGCTAAATGCACCTTAAAAAAAATTAATTCTTTTTTTGTTTTGCAGACGACGAGTGCTGATGCAAACCGATTCGATATCAAGCTTTGGTGGAATTCAGTGGGAGCTTCTCGGAATAATGACATTGTCATGGATCATCGTGTACTTCGCACTTTGGAAAGGCATTACACAAGCTCGTAAGGTAAACAAGATCAAAAAAAAGAGAGAAATTAATTAATATTACTAGTGAAATCTGGCATAGATAATAAAAATATAAAATATTATTTTCTTCTCCCTCTGCTTGTATTACATCTTTAATGATTTAGGTCTTGTGATCGGTGTTAAATTAAATAAAAATATGCTGCAAAAATAAGTACTGTTTTCTCAAAATTTTAAACAAATTTCAATTTATGTACGAACTTTTCAGCGGAGTTGTTTCACAGGATTACGTAATGGCCTATTTTGCATTTTTTTCGGCCAAGCAATTGCTGATTTTCTGGTACTTTTCCATTTCTAGAATATTAAATTAGGACAAATGTACGGTTCGTTGTAATAAGCAATGAGTAGTAAGGTAGTTTAAAAATTAGCACGCAAAAATGAAAAATTTACTAATAGTTAAAGCAGTTTTTTTTTTTTTTTTTTTATTTTATAGGAATATTTGATCAATTTGACAAACAAGAAAAAAGTTTTTTTTTTTTAATTTTTTTGAATTAGTTAAGAGAGGACAGTTTGTAGCAAGCAATCTGAGCTGCTGGACACTAAGCATTCCATTCATTCATTCGGTATTGTTCAACGCACGCATACAGTATATACCCGACGAATTCATTGATCCTCTAAACAATTTGCCAAAGATGGCAGGTAACTTTTGAGATTGAGTTTTTTTGGAAAAGAAAAAAAAATCACATTTATGAAAAAAAAAAAAAAAAAAAAAAAAAGAAATGAAATTGAAGACATAAAAGACATATCATAAAATAAAAATCCTGTGATTACATTTAAGAAAAAGGATCAATGATAGTTATCAATTAGTGAAATATTTTTCGAAATCGGCAACATTCCATTTCTTATCTGCAACTATCTTCGTCACCAATTTATGGCCGTAAAAACGAAATTTGAAAAAAAAAAAAAATAGGCTGTCACATTTTTTTATACGTATGTACGTGCTGTATGTGTGCATGTGTGTGTGAATATTTTAAATTTCGTGAATGTTTGAAATATTGCCGAGCGTCAATTGAATTTAAAATTCCTCGAGACTATAAAATTTTTTTTAACAATAAAATCATAATTTTTTTTTTCTTTTATGGGAAATAGGATGAAATATTCTAATTCCAATAAAATATGTTTTAAGGTGTTAATGTTAATAATGATAGAAATATGGGGCAAAATAACAATTCTGGGACACTTAATTGAATGATAAATGGAAGAGAAATAAAGGAAAAATAATTGTTGATATCAAGATTTGGTATTTTTTTGATAACAAATCATTGATTTGTACATGAATAGAGTAACACGTGAATAGATATACTTCACCAAAATTGTTTTTGTTTAAAATGAAAAAAAGAAATGGTACACCTAAATCATTTTCATCAGAAGTTCATCTTGAAGGATAATGGATTCTAATAACTTTAGGAACTTCTAATTTACGGCGACGTTTGCTTTCAATCAATTCTTTAAATTATATGTTCAACTAAATATATATTCACATTCAACTACATGTTCACATTATCATTTTTAAATCTTTTGAAAAGTATAGTAAGTGATTCAAAAATTTTTGAAACAAAATATTCAGCATTTCAGCGATTACAACTTTATCTTACGATAAACAATTATAGTTTTCCTTATTATTATGGCCTCTCTTACTGTGCAATTATACTTCTTGTTTTTTTCTTCCTTTTTCTTCAATTTTTCCAATATTTTTAACAGATCCAATATTCATTCATTATGCAAAGGATTACTTACTAGGAATTTGGCCTCTTGCACTTATTATAATTTGATTAACGCTTAAAATGTTCATAAATTTTGGCAATGATTATTTTCAGAGAAATCTTTGATATGTATATTTATATATTTTTTCCGCATATTCTTCATCTTTTCAGCTTCAGAATTATACATTCTCTTCAGCAATTTAGCAACAATTTCGAATCATTATTTTAAAAAACAAAAAAAAAAAGGATTATCTATTTTTTTCTTTTTTTTTTTAAGGAAATGGAATAGACATTTAAATTGTTTAAAAAAAATACTTTTTTCTATTGCAGTTTGTGTATTTTTGCGCGTTATCACCGTATTTCATGCTGGCAATTTTGCTTGTTCGTGGTTTAACATTGCCGGGCGCTGAAGTTGGCATTTATTTTTACCTAACACCTAACGCAACAAAATTATGGGATATTACGGTATGGAAAGATGCTGGCACTCAGGTATACATCATCATAACTCGCAATCATCATCATTATTACCATTATCGTCATCAATATCACCATCATTATTACCATTGTCATCCAATGAAATCATCATCCTCATCATCATAATCTCGTATTTTAAATTAATTTATATTAATTATTTTTCCTACTTTTTCTGTTAACCATAAGTGTGGCACCACTTTTCTCAAACATTTCAAAAAGTTGAACTCTATTTTCCACAATAAGAATGCAACTGCAATTGTTTCAGCATGAGTTACTGATACAAATGGATTAATAGTATTATTTTGCTATTATTCTAAGTTTTAATCTTATTTCTAGCGCAACAATTTATCTAATACAATTAATATAGCAGTAATGGTTGTACATGAATAAGTATTCTGAAAATGTTTGCTAATATCATAAATAAAATAGTCATATCTGATAGATCAATCAGTGTATCACAGCTATTATCTGTTGTGATTATACCTTACACTTTCATCTGTTTTGATGGATAGTTCACGTTCATCTTTGTCATCCACCTGTTATTCTTTTTTAATGGACGATTAGTACTCTCTCTCTTTGCATCTTTTTATTCATTTATTTTTTTCTCTTCTTCTCCCCAATAATCCGTCCATGAAGACAATCTTCATAAATTTTTTTATTCATCAAATTTTAAAAAAGTTAATTTTAATCATAATCTATCAATAAATATTTTTTGATTTGCTTGAAAGATAAAAATAAGCATGGTAAATAAAAATAAATAACAATAATAGCGAATAAAATTAACAATAAGCAATAACAAATAACAATAGCAAATAATAATAATATTAATATCATTAATAATAAATAATGGTGATAATAATAATATCAATAGTAACCAATAATATTAAATTAGTAAATAATGATATTGCAATATAATATCCAACCTTCACTTATTTTCAGGTATTTTACTCATATGGAGTAGGATTCGGGACACTGATTGCGCTGGGATCGCATAATAAGAAATCTCATAATTGCTTCAGGTAAATATAATAATAGTAATAGCAATAATATCACAAAATAATATCACAAAAATGAAAATTCAGATTAATGTCACTAAGTTTTTTAATAATTTTTTTTCTTTTTGAATTTTATCGTCATTCTTTGCTTGATACAATGTAATATTATTACTTATACATTGTCAATTTTGAAAAAAATTTTTCAATTTTTTCAAAAATGAAAATTATTTGCAGAGATGGGTTTATTATGTGCATCATAAATGGATCTACAAGTTTAATTGCTGGTAAATCTGATAGAATTTTGTTTTTTTTTTTTGTTTTTTTTTTAGAATATTCTACTTTTTCTATGCTTAGATTATAAAAGTATAAGGAAAGGAACAAATAATCCATATTCATTCCATATATATGACTAAACAATCACTCATATAGGAAAGATATAAATTTACTCTTTTAATTACTTTTAGCCAGTGTTAACAGTGTTGGAATAATTCTTGTCAATATTAAACGTTGTCCTTATCTTTGCTCTAAAGCTATTTTCCTTAGCTTATGCAACACAATTCTGAAATCTTTTTTCCGGCCTACAAAGATTTCTTATAAAGCTAGATAAGTGTATGTTTGAAGTAGTAAACAATTCAGTAATAATAACTGAATTATACAGTGTTTTTTTAGGCTTCGTTGTTTTTTCCATCCTTGGCTACATGTCGGTTATTGTTGATAAAAATATTGCTGAAATTGTTAAACCAGGTTTCAAATCTTTCTCGTCTAATTAATTTAAGTAAATTCGTAGCATTTTGAAAGAACAATTGCATCACATCGGAGACATAGACGATCAAATCATTTGGCTAAAATGACAATGAATTACCATTTATTTTTGTATGAGTAATTTTTCGGATTCAAATGTAACATTAGCTTAACTGATAAGTCATAAAATTTAATATTCCATTGCAGGACCAGGTTTAGCATTCTTAGCATATCCCGAAGTAGCCAGTAATCTTCCTCTTAAACAACTTTGGTCCATGTTGTTCTTCTTGATGATTACAATCCTTGGCCTAGATAGTCAGGTTAGTAATTTGTAAGTGCATTCCATACCGTAAATATTTCAAACAATAAAAATTAGCACAATTTAATGAAATTTCAGATTTGCATGTTGGAAGGTTTATACACCGCCCTTGAAGATGTTTTCCCACATTTTTTACGCAAATACAAGAAAACTTCACTTGCTTTTACTTGTCTGTTCTTCTTCATTCTTGGCATCCCAATGGTTACTTACGTAAGATTTTAAATAACTAATGAAATATTTTAAAAGGAAAAATTATTCATAATGGGTGTTCTATACTAATATAATAACATTCCTCTGCAAACAATATATTTGTATTTTATTATAAAAAGATATGTTTATATTTTGAGACATCTTCATGTTTCCCAAAAGTCCTTTTTCAAAAAAGAAAAAAACTTCTTAACAGTTCAACTTCTATTGCAAATTAAACAGATTTTCATACAATAAACAGACCTTTTTGTTTATGTTGTTTATATATATTAGGCGAATTGTGCTCATACTGTAGAAAAACCAATTTTATACTGTAGATTAGTATAGTTACTGTGAAGATTTCAATGTGTACATACTGTAGGTAGATTAGATTCCAATATTTTTATTATTATATTTGATATTTATGTTGTAAATTGTGATTCCTGTGGCATTTAAATTTATGCTTACTTAGCATATGTGCATTAAGCAGATTTTCATATGAGTATACTGTAAAGATCGTTGTTTATACTGTAGGTAAATGACACTAAATCACACCATTTTGGGTGAATCATTTTCATTGTTCAGATAAATTATAATATTTATATTCTAAGACATAATTCCTATAGCAGTTAAATTGGTGCGTGTAAACTATAAATAAATTTGTTTGTCAAATTAAACTTAGATGAATGAAAATGATCAAATCAAAATCAGATCAAAATAAATTAAGAATAAAATTAAAGGCTGGCTCATATTGGCTTACTCTATTTGATGCATATGGTGCTAGTGGTATTGCATTATTATTTGTCGTATTTTTTGAAGTTACTGGACTTTCATGGGGATTTGGTAAGTAATATGTTAAATGATATTTAATTAATAGATAATGTTTAATGTACTTCATTCTAATGAATTATATATTAATTATTATTTATTTTTTGCACTCAATTTATTTGTATTTTTTGGTCTGTTTTTAGGAGCACACAAAGTACGTAATGCTTTAAAAGAAATGATTGGTGTAGAACTTTGGGCATGCTGGATTATTGTTTGGAAATTCATTACACCGTTTGTTACTGCTGTAAGTCTTTTTTTGCTTACTAAATATTATAGTTTCAGTAAATTTCATATTGTAACAAACAAACATTATTTATGTCATTTTTTATGTTACTAATTCAAGTATTTTAATTCATGTGAAGTTTTACAACTTACGCAAAATTTTTATTTATTTTTTAGCAGTATAGTCTTTTTGTATTATATTCTTTTCAGTGATTAAGTATTTTCAATCTTTTTAAAATTACGTAACTTTGTGTTGAGGTTCGAAAAAAAGAGTTCGGATTTTTTCTCATATTTGAAATTTTTGATTTCTTGTTTCTTTTTGCCGGTTCTTTTTCTATTCTTTCCTTCGTATCAAAAAAAAAAAAGATTAATTGATTTTTTAGGTTTTGTTCTTCTTCTGTATTTACAAATATCAACCGTTAAAGTATCCTACCGGAGAAAGCTTTCCGGTTTGGGCTGAAATATTTGGATTTTTTTTATCTTCTTGTTCTATGGTTGTTATACCAGGGTATGCAATCTATTACCTTTTTTCCAGCAATCTCGACAGTTCCACCAGTGAAGTTTGTTTTTTTTTATTGTACTTTCATGTTAACTTTTGATCTTGATAAATTGCATTACTGTAATTATCATTCTTATTGAAATCTTCTCTATGATTAATTACTGTATTCAAAAAAAAGACAAGTTTAATTAGTGTTTGAAATAAATCTTTAATTTTGAGATCATTTAACATTTCTTTAGTCTATTTTCAGCGTTTAAGACGTGGTCTACATCCACCATCTGATTTAGAAACCGGATTGCCACCATCACTTGCTTTTGAGCAGCAAGATGTTGATATGGAATATATTGATTGCGATTGTGCAAAACAATTGTAATTTACATGAAATTATAATTACATCCTTTTTAATTTTTAACTAATAAACATGTAAATATTTTTGCTTGAAGGAATTCAAAAATTTTTATTTGACAATATTACTCTGAATAAATTTTCCGATAATTGAATGAGATTTTATTATTAAAATTCTAAATCGATATATTTCTGATCACTATATGCGTCTTCATCAATTTTCAGTTACTTCCATCATCCTTATCACCTTATATCTTTATTAGTTTCAGAATATATTTCAGAAATGTAATTTTTCTTCTTTTTTCATCTATAATAAGCTAAAAAGATAAAATAGCAATTCTTAAAGAAAAAAAGTAATTAGTTTGTTTTGATTTTTTCAAAGAAAAAGAAAAAAATTAACTAATCGATCAAACTATAACAAAAAAAGAAGGAAAAAATTAGTGAAAAGAATATAAAACATTCGTTATTCGCTAAAAAAATAAAAATGAATAATTAATCTATCAAATTGCAAAACAAAAAAAAAAAAATCATAATTGTATAGCATTTCATTATTCTGTTTTTTTTCTAATAGCTTTGTACAATCGCAATTAGTTGATATTTTAAAAAGAAAACAAATTTCAAATTTTAATCATTATTATTCAAATTTTAGCAATAAAAATGATAGCAGTTATTAATAACCTGCTTTTGAAAAACTTAATTTTGATGAGCATATCAATTATTATTGTATATTTCGATAATTGATCAGTAATCAATAATCTGTTTCTTAATAATTCGATTTCAATAAGCATATCATTTATTACTATCATCAAATATTTGAAAAATTTATCATTTCCTTATTAGTATATGCCTTTCGGTTCATTTTTTATTTTTTATTTTTTTACATAGTTAATCAGAATTAAATAAAAAATCTGACTACTCGAGTAATCATATATTATATATATATCAAATAATTTGCTGTAATGAGCCACCGGAATTCAATTCTGCACCATAATTTTAAATTCCAAAAAAATTTTTATTGTTTTATTTTGATCCATTTTTTCAATTGGATATATTTTTTCTTATTGAAATTTTACGATTACATCTGTTATCGCTTGTAGTTGTGTATAGAATTCTAATCCATTGTATATTTATCATTCATATCATTTTCTTTCTTTTTTAAAAGTAAAATCAATTAATTTTTACTTAAAATTTGTAGTTTACAATTCAAAGAAGTGCTGTATTTTTCATTACATCTTTTATGTTAGTTTCATAAATATATAATAAATTACAAGTATTTCTTATTCTTTTCTTTTTTAAATAAAACATTAAACAAATAAGCATTAACATGAGGATTTTTTTTTTGAAAAAACAATTGCTTCAGTAGTTAAAAATTAATTGCTTGTCAACATGGTATGAAGAAAACTGGAAATGATTTGTGCGAAGACAGTTATTAATTGATTTAATAAGTTGAATATAAAAAAAAGACGAAAGGAAAGAGACACAAATGTGTAAAAAAAATTGCAGCATTTTTTTATTGCATATTTAACTCTTAATTCTTCTATTTTTCAAGAAGGCAAAATAAAACTTTAATTTTCAAAACTTTTTGTGTAAATCTTATCGAGAATTAAAATGTTTCCACTTACCAAGAATTTAATAACACTTACATGATCTCCTAAAATTATCTCTCTTTTAAGTTGCCTTATGTGATTCCATACTGCAATTATTCAATTTTCATTGAATTAGTACTGTTTTTTTAGTCAAAACTTAGCAACTGGTTTTACGTGGCTTAACAATTAACAGTTAACATACATTAAGATATTTAATTTTTTTTTTAAAATTTTTAAAGTTTCCATTCATAATTGTCTTTTAGAATCAATATTTTAAAGCCAGTTTTGAAATTTCACTCAGAAACTTCGTTACTTAGAAAAACTTTAGATAACTTTTCAATGATAAATTCAATAAATCTGAATTGAAACAGAGAATTAATCCAAAATTGGAAACAAATGAGAAAGTTAATGCTGATAAAAAATTTGCACAAATATCATGAAAATGATTCATTAAATTCCAGAACGGAAATGCAACAAAAGATATCATAGCATGGCAATTCCTATCACAACTATTATCATAGAATTATCAATATTAAGAAGACTAAATAATTTTGGTTAAGTACAAAATTTTGCATTTAAAGATTTAAATGATATTCTGATTCTAATATGATCCTGATATGATGAAGGAAAGACGAATGAAACTAATGGGTTTAAAATTTTTAATTAAAACTTTAGTGATAACAATGATATTCCAATTTTCAATGCATAAAATTTGCCAATACCACTGAAAATGATTTATATTATGAATTGAGACCAAATAATTAAGCTCCATTTGCATTTTGCACAGAAAAAAACCCAATTCCTATGGATTATTTTGATGAAACTAAAATGATAGTGTGGATACTTTTTGAGGATTTTTTCGCATGCTTAAGGGATTCTTTTGGTTTTCTTATATTAATTGTTAATAAAACTATTCCGTTAATACCATAATTTATGATAGTGAGAAAGATTGCGTTGCTTTTATCAAGAGTTCAAATTGAAAACTTTGTTCCAATTCTGAATGAATTTCCTGTACTGAAGAACAATTCAGCATATTCACAGCCAGATATGGTTGAAAAGGTTTTATCATATCAAATAGATACAATTTTAAAGCAATCGCTTATGATTAGCAGTGTGCACTACTTATTTCAGTTCACTGCAAAGTAATTGTTACGGAAAAAAATAGTACTTTAATCCACATAACATTTACATCAAAGCCGAATGAATGCCTATAAGAAGTTGTGCTGAAAATTATTTCAACATGATTACATTCTCAACAAAAATAAAAATAATTAAATTGAAAAACTGTTAATTTCCAATTTGATCATTCTCATCCGGAAAAAGAAAAACCCTATTCTTATGAAAAATTTTCAAAGTTATAGCTGGCTAAAACATGCAATTGATATTCTAAAGAAATTAAGAAAGATAAGCATAATCACATCTAGCACTGATAAATGTTACTAATTACATAGAAAATGAAAAAATTAAGCAAGATTATTGTTTAATGAGAAAAAAAGTACTTCCTTCTTGCCATGCTTCTGTTTGAATTGATGAGGTTCGATTCGCTTCAGTATAGCAGCTAGCTTTTGTACTATTTCTGATTTTTCCATATCACCACATTTTGACTTAATTTTAGAAAGCAATTCTTTCGTTGTATGAGGTTTCCTGCAAAATATAACTCGAATTATTGAATTACTGAATACATAAGAAGAGAGGAAAAATCACTGAATTCATTTTTCCTATTTTATTCCGTTCGAAATTAGAAAAGACTGGTAAATGAAACATAATATTCACTAACTCACAGCAAAATATACAAATGAGCAATCGAAAAAGCTATTACCTTCGAAGATACCGTCGCACAGTTTCTTCATTTAGACTATCCTGATTTGTTGTCGATTGTGTGGGGGATAATGATGGTGCAGTAAACCTACAAAGTTTAAGAAGATACAATTTCATAAATAACACTAATGTAGAAAAAATAAAGACTAAGATTTTCTCAATCAAAAAGCTTCCATTTTAGAAGGAAACAAGTAGGCTTACGCTTGTTCGGTCTTGATCCTTTTCACCTCATTGTCTGCGAAAGATACATTTTCTAGTGGTCTTTTTCTTGTTGATGATTGTGGTTCTTCCAGAGTTTTTTTCTGCAAATTTTTACAGAAATTTAAGAATATAACCTTAAAAAGGAAAAAAAAGACTTACCACAGGTAGGAAAATTGCAGAGTTAATTTCTTTATCAGGATCATCCGAGTCGCTACCTGATGAATCTAAAAAATTTCGTTAGCAGATAAACTGAACCTAATAAAATGTTTGTCACTTTGACTTCATATTTAACCTTCAGTTCAATTTAACAGTTGATCCTCTTAACAAAAATAGAAAGTGTGCTTCTCCTTTTACTCTTTCCCTAGTTCGGAACAAAAAATAACTGTAGGAAATTTCAAGTCAGTGTATGTTAACATTGTTGTTTTCTGTAGAGAAAGGATAAAAATAATAAAGTAAACAATATTTCATACAAAAAATGAACGAATAAACTTTTAATGATAACTTGCCTCTTTCATCGACATCAATAAACTGCTTCTTTATCTCATCGCCATCGTCATCTTCCACAGCGAAAAGAAGTTTTTTGGCTGAAATTCCAATTTTAAGTTGTTAAATTTTTGACTTATTCAAATAATACATATTTTTTTAAGAAAGCAAATAATTAAAATGTTACACGTACTGGTATCATCCATATCACTACTGTCGGTATCAGAAAAATCATCACCAATTAACTTTTTCAGACCTGTTTCATCACCTACGGCAACCATTGCCTCATCCACCTTCTGTTCCATAGGTACCACATCTCGGCTGAAAATATCATCGAAATAAAGCTAAACTATTCAGTGTATGATTTTACTCCATAGAACAGAAATAAACCTCATGGTAGTAAAATACTGAGTCCAGCGACACTTACATTGTAATAATTTAAAATTTCCTCCTGTAAGTCCCATATGAAAATTTTATCAAAATGAAGTAAAATGGAAATATAGCAAAAGTGAAAAAACAACATCAATGAATAAAGAAGAGTACTGATCAAAACTATCAAAAATTTAATCAAATTAAATGAAACAATGAAAAGTTGATTCGGATGGATTGCTATATCTAATAACATGAATATGAATATAAAAAATGAATAAGTAGAAATATTAAAATATATCTCTTGTGCAATTTCCACCATCTAGAAAATCATCAACCCTAAATCAACTTAATATTCCATCGAGAATTTTATTAACATGCTTTACTTTTAATTACTTCTCATGTTGATATTACTCTAATTACTTTTTTAAAACTGTAATTTAATGGCCTTATTACTATATCAACTCTCATTAAATCAGTATAGCTCGAAAGATCTTAACGATGAAATAAGATGAGTAGACTAATCAACAGAAAATATAGAACACAAGCACATATATGTGCACTTATATCATTATATACAAATAACTTTGTATATAATCTTTTCAATATATACATAATGAAATTTCTTTTTTTCAAAAAATATAGCATTTTAAGCAGAAAGCACTGGACAAATAATTTATTATCAGTATGTATACTTTATTATTAGCATGGGAAAAGCAAATATATGGAATGCTTTGTTCAAAGCAATAACAAGACGAATAATATCGGTGGATTTAAATAATGAACTTTAACCTGTGATGTCATACGTATGCATTATGAATAATTCAATAGCAACAATGTATCCAGATCTAATAATACTTGAATTCTAAGAAAAAATAAAACATATGCATAAGATTTGATACAACGCTAGCACTATTAGTGCACTGCTGAGAGAATACTCATCACACTTGCCGAAATGGTCTTAGAGATAGTAAAAAAAAAAAAAAAAAAAAAGAATACAGAGTTCAAAAGAAATACGATTATATTTCACTCGTTTTGGGATTTATTTAAATTTAATATATAAAAGTGTGCAAGAAAATGATCTGTCAAGCCTAAACCCTTAAATCGATAATCTGGATAAAAAAATAAGTGGAACATAAAATCACACAAGTTCTTATAGTTTGACTTCCTCTTTAAGTAAATAGAAGAAAAATAAACAACGGAACATACAAGCATGAAGAAATGTAGTTCCAATTTGTAATCTCAAAGAATTAATTAACGCATCGCAATTTCCCTAAAATATTGATAGAAAAGTGTAAAAAGAGAAAAGAAGGCAAGACTGAAAAAAATAAACATCAATGACTTAATGAAGAAAACTTTTTGGCATAACTTGGAATAATAAACAATGGGCGAAGAACGTTCAAGGGATTCTAAAACATAAAATGAAGTACTTTGAGTACTGCTTGGTCACTTAAGCATTTTTCTCTCCCGTATTTAAGTTTTTTTACAGTCTTAAGTTTACGATTCTTCAACTAAAACTGATAAAATCGAAACTTACTCGCTTTCTGAACCACTATCACTCATATAGTCATATTCTCGACCCTCATCATCACCATCATCACTTTCATAAGCTGCCACCTCATCCGCATTCTCCACTCGCTGTCTCTTATCTTTTCTGGCCCGAGCAGTAGGTTTTGAGTTCTAAAGTAAAAACTTGTAGATAAAAATTTTGCACCTTCGGCTAGTATTATATGAATCACAATTTGTTTTCCGACTTGATTCAAAATCGAAGTATTAAAACGAGTTCTTCTAAAAATGAATTCACTAGCTTTATTTTAAATCTTCAAGTTGGGTATATGAGTAAATTTCACCTTTTTCGGTTTTGAACTTCCGACAGGAGCATCATCTTCGTCGTCTCCTTTCTCGCCATCAGAATTCTCATCCGAACTGGCTTCATCTTTGATTTTCTGAAAAAGATTAAGTGTTTTGATCCGAAGCAGTTGGAAATAAACAATATAAAAATGCAGAACTTACAAGCGACTTCGTTGTTTTTATCATTTGTTCGCCATCTTCATCCATAGCTTTCAATTGCTGCTGTATCTGGGCTTTAAGAGCAAACTGATTCATAACACGATTTCGTCTAAAAGCGCAATTTCTTTTAGCTTTTTTCGTTTATTTTTGCCATCAAAAGAATTCATAAGTATAACAGAAACAATCCATGACTTCGCTAATAAGAATGTCTTCATTTTCGGAAAAATTTTCAGCTTAAATATATGCTCACTATCAAAATTAATGAGTTTGATCACTCACTGAAACATGTTTGGTACTAATAATACATGGCTGAAAGGCAGCGTAAGACCAGTTTATCCCATCAAATTGGAGTTTTAAATCTTCAAAATTTAATTCATAAACCATATAAGACATTAATATTCATTTACACTGCACATAAAAATGAAAGAAGCTTACTCACGAAACCGTTCTTCTGCTTGATCAATGTCAAGAGTTCGATGAGTCGAAAATGGCATAAATTGATACCACTCATCAACTTTGTAAGCATGAAATTCTTCTCCCGATTTCAAAAACACCCAATAGTCTGCATGTTCCCCTGCTCCGCCTTCACGAATGCTACGAAATCTGCGTTCCTTAGTACCTGAAAACTTCGGAAGAGTTAGTCAAAAGAAAAAGGTAAAACAAGAGTTTGAACTTGAATATGAATATGAAAACTGACATCGATAAAAAGCGAAGACACTAGAAAATAAAACAGCACATTACAATGGACATATCAGAAAGTAAGAATAATTAATATGTAAGATAAGACAATAAGAAAGAAAAATATACTTGGGTCTGTAATACTTAACACCCAGGGTTGATTGTCATGCTGGTAGGTCTGAAATTGACGGCCGTATTTCTTGCGCCGTGCCTCCTCTCGCAACGCTTTACCATATTCGGAGCCTTCTCCATAATCCTATAGGAACGGACTTCTACTAATTTTAAACATCTTAATTTAACATGTCAAACTAAAACAGCTACGTATTCACTCTAACTTCCACTTTAAAAAAAAAATATTTACTAAAATCCTTCGGAAAAATCCACATTCCTTTAGGCCTCTCTAAGCGATAACAAATATCGTAAGGTGTTTAAAACGATAATTTTCTTGCAATACAACCTGCCGGATTTCATTTACAGCTGCTTGTTCTTTATTATCTTCACGTGCCATTCGTATACTGTAATCAGCCATTGCCCATTTTCCTGGATCAATTTTTAAAGTACCATTGAATTTCAAAACTGAATAACGTCTAGACCCATTTCGTCTGTAAAAAAAGTATATAAAAAAAAAAAAAAAAAAAAAAAAACTAAAAATTTCTTAATCAACGAGGAACTGGAAATGAAAAAGCTAATCCAGTGTACAGTTTAATAAAAATTAAACAAGAAAATATTCCACTACAATATTTAACAACAAATTTATCAACCATGTAATAAGTTTATTAAAGGTTACTTGGGAATACGCACGGTATACTGTTTCGGTGTTGCAGGTGTCGCCATCTAGAAAGAATTAGATTCAAAACAATGAGATATAATGCACACATGAATAGCAATAAACTTATAATAAACAACTTTACCCATCTATTTTCCTCAAATTCTCTATCCTTTACATCATATTATTTCTCTTTCCTTTCTCTTCTAGGCAACTTCAATCTTATAAAATTAAAAAAGTCTAACATAAACAAATTGGCATTTAAACCAGATGCTTTTAAAGAAAAGTGGAGTACCAACAAAAGAACTTCATCGGTATTTACAGTGATAACAAGTTTTAACGTTCCACAAAAAAATTGAAAGACTGAAAATCAATACATATCAAAGGTTCATTTCCTTGAACTAAACCATATAAAAATTATAAAAAAAAAAGAATAATTCAATTTATACGTTTAACGAGTACAAAAAGAATAAACTTCAACAATAACACCTTGAAGGCAAACGCATATAAAAATGTATAAAAACGTATAAGAAATCCATAACAATGTTGAAAGCTTCTAGCTTTAATAAAAGTGGCGAAATCACAAATATTCTTATACTGCCGTACCACAAAATCATAAATTTTTTTTTAAAAAAACGAAATCCAAATTAAATGTAAGCCCAGCTAGACTTCAAAACCATCTTTTTTTCTTATTTTCTAACATTTCACGCTTGAAAACCTTAAGTTTAATAACCTTCGCTATCTCCTGAGCAGAACGATTCTGGCCTGAAACAAATGTGAGGAATCAACTAATAAGTAGGAAAATGAGAGAATACGGACAAAGCGGTAAAAAAAAATCTCCATAAAAAGTGAAAAGGGTGGAAGAATTATTAAAAATACATTGTTAAGAAAAGTGACTTTTCAAACTGTTGGCTGGAACCATTCATCATAAAAGAAAACAGCTTACCATAATAATCATGAAAATCACCATCTGGATCCATTAGATACATGATAACAGTGTGGTCAACAATATAATCATTTCCGTCTATTTTAGGCCCTTGGCTGTAGTAGACGCGAAATGCCTTTGCCACTTTGGCGACCTGATAGCAATATATTTTCATTTTGCCATTTCGTTTTTTTTAAATAATCAATTAATTATCATAATGAAAACTGAAATATTTTACTTGCTCCTTTGAACCAGTGTAGCCTTTTATTTTGGGAGAAAATTCTGCGCAGTACTTCTTCACTCGTTCAACTGTGTCACGTTCAGGATCTACTGATATAAAAACTGGGATTACTCTGATTTTTTCTTCACTTTTTTCAAGGATTTCCACAACCTAAAACTTACATAATCAGAATGATACACCGACAAAACAAAATCAACAAAATGAAGATGCAAAACTTTTCTTTAACAACTTTTTTGTGAAAAAATGAAAAAAAAATTAAAAAAAATGACCTCAACCATTTTTTCAATAGAATCTGGACAGACATCAGGGCAATGTGTGAAACCAAAATACAACAAAAGCCAATTTCCTTTAAGCCGTTCGGAACCCCCTAACTCACCATTCACATCAACTAATTCCCATGGACCACCAATTCGAGCTTTACCGATAGTCTGCTTCCTTTCGCTCTCTAGTTCTCTCATTTTCTGCAATGTATTATTGGATTTTCGAGATGATTTACATGATATGATATTTGTTTACTTCGAAGAAATAAAATGAGTCTACTGTTATCGATAACAAACTGTTTAAAAGAAAGAAACATGGTATGCCTACCTTTTCTCGCAAACCTGATAAGATGATAACTAAAATAACACTGACACCAACAATAATCATAGCCAGTTTTCCTGTGAAAATTTCTCGAATTGCTTTCTTCTGCAAAAAAAGATTTTAAGAAAAGCATTAACTTCCTGCTTTGTGTGTATCTTGGTCAAACGATATGAAATCTGTCACGTAAAATTTTAAAAAATGACAGCCAAACCTACCTGCTCCCTTAACTTTAGGATGGTTTCCTTATGATTTATTGACTCTTTTTTTTCATCTCTTTTTAAAGCCTCTTCTAAATCTGCCATATCCACTTTCAAATCGTCACTTCGCACTGCTTTTTCTAAAAGAACTAATGTAATTCCATGCCTTAATAACATCTTCAATTTCCGAAGAAATTCAATCAGATAATACGAATAAAGTGAGCAAATAACTTTGCTTTATTAATCACCGCTGCGTTTTAAATAGAAAAATAATACTAAGGAAAACAACGCAACGAGTTATAGTTTGTCCGTCAAAAAAATACAAATATGCTAAATTTCTTGTAATTTAATCACATAAATAACAAACTTTTATCATTGACATTCTCACTGTCAATAGCTGTTAAGCGTAGTGAATTAGTAGCATGAAGAAAACATTTCCTCATACAGTAACACTGACGAGATGAATTGGACGGTGATAATCGGGAGAGAACAGCACATGTTACACGAAACATCTGAAGTTATGCTAATTATGATATCATATCGTGAAACGTGAATCAGCGTAACGAATTCCATTAATATATATAATATAAGTCAAACTGAGAATGCAACGTATTGCATATATCATTAATAATGAATATTAATTGGTTGATAAACTGACGGACGAATGTTACTTTTCCACGGGAATACAATCAATTATATAAATATGTAAAATAACGTAAATGCTTAACATTAATAAATAGGTAAAATACGATAAAGAGGAATAAATGTTATTATATGAATAGGTGAATAAGATCGCAAATAAACAAGTACCAAATAAGTAAGATCGACGAATAAAGCAAGAGTACACAACAAATTAGTTGGACAATCCAGCACATTTTTGCAAAGAAATTTTTTTTTTATAAAAAAAAAAGATAGCTTTTTGCTGTCTAAATCTTTGTACTAGCATTACCCGTCATTATATTTTGCACTTCACTCTCATACTCTATTATTCCCAATAATACCTATATTTACTATTTATGCCAACTCTTTCGTTCCCCAACCACTTCACATTCTTAAAACTTTTGTTTCTCTTTATCACACATACTCTCCTCAAAAGTATCGCTATTCATCCACACAATGTTGCGAAGTTTGCTTAAAATTATTATAATGTCGACGTTATGAAAATTTTTTTGATCAGCGAAGTTAGTTTGCATTTTGTTTGTAATATTCTGAATTTGGGAATGTATTTTTCTTTTTGCTATTTTGTAATCTTTACTTCTATGCATTCCTTATTAACTCGCTTTATTTTATTACTTAAATATGGGCTCATTATTTGGTACTTTACGACAAAATAAGCTATTAATTTACTTGAATAAGAAATTTCAATTTAAATAGTACTTAAAACGGGTGTAATTTTTCATCTCTTTTCTTAATATTCAATATCTGTCTTTTTTCTCTGTAAAAACTGGATAAATTTTTTCAAAGTTTTACTTACAGGTATTTTGAATTATTTCAATAAGTGGAATTAATGAATGGTGTATCACTACAAGTAGTGCTTTATATGATAGCTTGGTTTTTTTCATATATAACTGCAAACAATGGATCATATTATCCATGGGATTTGAATGCTGCTTGTCAACCTTACATTGAGGTTTTCATTTAACAAATACTAATTATTTTTAAGTATACAGCATTTGTTAAATGTATTTTAGGTAGTACATTATAAAACAATGAAATATTCAGCTTCTTTTATACCTCAAATTCATTTTTTTATTATGCAGCAGTGTTAAATTATGCTTGTTAAAAGGTGATGGTTTAAGTCTAAACCTAACTGAACTAAATTTAATCTTAACAGTAGGTTTAATTCTAACATTGTTTGTATAGTACTTCATTGATTACATTATAGTATTTCATTGATTAGTTTTTCTTTTTCCTTGCAGTATTTCGCAGAAGCAAGTTCTAAAATGATACGATGTGCAGCTATCTATTCTTCGCCACCAAAAGTTTGCACATATTGTACCGAAGAATATATTGCTTTGAAACAGATGGAATATAAACTGCATAAACTGGTAAGCAGCAGTCTGTTACAAAAAAGTTAGGTTTCAGAAAACTTATGCTGGAAGAAAAAAAAACTTATACATGAATGCTTGATAGGAATTTGGACCTAAGCATAAATGCATTAACTTGTGCACTGTATACTCAATAGCTTGGCTGTTTATCAATTAACCTTAGAATGGTAAAGTGCAATTTTTTTTCAGTTTTCGCTTACTGTAGCTCTTGGAAAATAAGCTTTAATTCTAAATAGTTTGGAATTTTAGGAAGACCTATTTTCACGTGACAATATTACTTGCAACCGTGTAATTTACGAGAGTTACTTAATTTCATATGTATCAGAGGTATCGACGACAATAACAAAAAACATATGGGAAAATTCGCGCTGTTCTTGTAAAACTTTTATTTCCTACAATTTGTTTCTACAAATTATAGGAAGAATCCAAGAATATAATCTTGATTTATTTTTCTTTAGTTTTTTTTGTACTAGCTTGTTTATTTTTGTTCAAGCCATAGGAAATAGTTTTTAAGGAACTAATGCGCTGTATTCATTCACTATGCTATTAAATTGAAATAAAACAGTCCTAAGAGTAGAAGGATTGCGCATCTGTCTTTTGGAAATAAAATGAACTTGTTTTAAACCTAATAAGTTAAACGAATTTCATATTTAAAAGTAGGTATCATGAATCATGATGACCTAAAATTAATTTCGTGCTTGAATGAAATTTTTCTGCACATCTGACTTAAGAAAAATGGACAGCGTCTATTAGTTCTAATTTCTTTTTTATTCTAACATCTTACAGCCAGTGGAACCATTGAAGATAAATAAATTTATTTCAGATGGTTCATTTTAGATGATTGTTCATTTTATGCATTTCAGCTTGTGTAGATATTGATTGGCATTTGGAAACAATCATTTTAGATGATTGTTCATTTTATGCATTTCAGCTTGTGTAAATATTGATTGGCATTTGGAAACAAACAGCACTGAATATACTTTCTATAACAATACTATAGTGTTTCAAAATAAGTTGTTTAATTGGAGGCACTGCATTTCTAATTTCTCATTTCTTCCTAATGATACGGTCATTTGCGACAAATGTCTAAGTTCGTTCAATGAGTTATTCCAGTTTTACTGGTATATATACATCACACCGAATATTAATTTCTGTTTAGATGTCGAAACTACGGTTAGTTTGCTTTTTCTTTTTTTATGCTAATTGTTATTGCTTCAATGTACTGCTTATTTTTCCTTAAAAAATTATTGCTTAAATTTCTCAACTCTTTAACTTGAACTTTATTGCAACTATTAGAAGCGACCTTCATGATATATGTTTATATACTTTTCTTCAAAATGAGAAATGAACATTTTGAATGTTAGATCCTATGCAGTACAAAAAGTGGCATTCTTTATGTAAAGAATGTTGACTGAGATTCATAAAACCATTTTATCGGTACTGACACAATCACCATAATGTATAAATCAAACGGTGAATGGGTAAAAAAATTTTAGATGAATGATACAATGAATTTATGGCATAATGTATGGCATTGTTTGGATGATCGAGTAGAAGAATTACGAGATTGGACTTTACTTGGATATAGTTTAGCTTTGCTAATAATCATAACAGTATTTTTCTATGCTGGTAGTTATATCCAAAGTTCAGAAATACAGAGACATCTTGTACAGTGTTAGTCTTCAGAAACATACTCTTTTAGATTGATGAGTTTTATACAGTCATAAATTGTGGAATTTCATGAATCGTAGTTGCTTAAATTTCTATTATTCTTAAAAATGTAACTCATGCATTTCACGTGGAAATTTTAAAGAATTATAGATTCGCAGCTAGAAGCGCCATGTGCTTTGCGATCACATATTCTGAGCTCATCAACTTTGGATAGAGTATCTTCGTCAACTGCTGGCGATTGTGAACGGATTAGCAATTTGCAGTAGCATATTATCGTTTTTTTTTTTTTCCTGTGAATTTTTTTTTTGATTGATTGAGTTGAATGTTATAGGTTTATTTGACTATGTGCGAAATCAGGTATCTTAAATCTTTAGACAGAGAGAACTGCAAAGGATTCGTTTTTTTAGTTGGAAAGGAAGATAGTGGATACAGAATCATCTGGTAGCATTTGACTCGTTAACGATATAGCACAAAAAGCTAGAATCATGTAGTATTTGTTATCGTGACTATTTTTACATTAATTAATAGGTAAGGAAATACGATGAGTTAAAAAACAAACATGGAAATTGAGAAAACAAAAATAGCAGTGTATAAAGCTTATTGTCTCTTTGTATTATTTCATTAAAATAAGTATTGTTTGCTATATATAATTATTTACTTTTCTGTTCTCATTTTCAATTTCTTTCTTTAGTTTTACTTTTGTATTTTGTATTGCATTCTATCTGATTCGTTTTAAAATTGCCTCGTTTGTTTGAAACTTTGTTATTACGTGTTTTACACAGATAGTTTAACGGGTTTACTAGAAACTGTTGTAATTTCACTGTTTTGAACATTTTTCGCTATGAATCCAATTACTTCTGAGATTTAGTATTTGTTTGTTTATTTTTCACTCTCTTAATAATATAAATTCTGTAGTGGAGATCTGTTTCAGACACATATCTCATTATCTTTTGGTATTATTATACAGAATTTCTCTTTTAATTCGCAATATTTTGTATGATGCTCTCTGTGAAATATAAACCGCTTCATAATGTGGGATATTTTGTACCATTTTCGGTTTATTCCCTTAGTATCTCTTTGATAATAATAGAGAGGCCCAGCGGCATTTTATCTTGAGATTGAGAAAAAGTTCATCGAGATGATTCCAATTGTTTTTATATAAAAAGTCTAGTAGATGCTAAATGAAAACGATTGGCTTAGAAAGAGAGAAAAAAAAGTAGTGTAGTTCTTTTTTGGTCTTGTTTTCGTCGTATAGAAATCGTTTTGTAATAATTTATATCGATTACGCTTTCTTTATAATTTCAGGTAACCGATTTTACTCATTACACAAGAAAAGTTGACATGATGGGAGATAATGATGAAGTTAGTTTGATTTACATCATTTTACCGCTTGGTTTGTAAATTTCGCAAAATTTAAATGTATCTAAGCAACAGGAATTATGGCTTGCTTGAGTATTCATTCATTATCCTTAGGTTGAAACTCAACCACTTACTGTTGATGAAGAGGAAGTAGTGGATTCACTGATCAAATTTCGTGAAGAATGCATAGCTCACACCGGAAAATGGAAAAAATTACTGGATGAGTGTACGGAGCGCGTGAATTCGAAAGCAAAGACAAAAGAATCATGTCATTACGAAATGGTTGATTACATTCAGGCTCTTGATCACTGCGTAAGTTGTCTATAAATTTGTTTGATGTGTAGGAGTTTATAATTATTTGCCTTTTAAAGAATTAAAATTTTAATTTCGAGAAGCTAATGAACAACAGCTGTTCCGTTTATAAATAAAAAGAAAGCTGCCACTCTACATTTCTTATTTTTCAATAAACTATTTTTAGACTTAGATAGAAGTAGTTAAGGGATTTTGTTTTTGTTTTTTAATTTCTACCTTTGAAAGGATATGAATATGAATGGAAAGTAATTTTATACTTATGGAAAGTAATTTTCAGGCTATGCCTAAAGCTTTTGCAACTCTGAAGTAATTCAGTGATAATCTCTCGAGAGTGATTTTAAAGATAGGTTATTGTATTTGCCAGATGGCTGTGTGCGTCTTTTAGCGAATAAACTAATTTGTTTTTGATTTGGAGTTTCTCGCACACTTAAAAAATCAGATCATATATACGCTTGAAAAAGAACCCTAACGGATATCTGCTGTGGCGTATGCAAATATTTGCAAGATATTAAGTAGTAACAACGCATTTTACTGGAATGTCATGAAGCTTAGATGTAAGCGTTTAAGTGCTCAAACACATAATCCGCTATACTAATAAAACAATCAAATGAACATTTAATAATGTTAAACTAGAATTTATCCAATTAATTGTCATATGATTTAAATATGATATAAAACATTGAAGTTTAAAAACTTCAATGTTTTATATCAAATACACTAAGCAGAGTGTTACTCTTTTTTTAATATTTAAATTAAATACATTTTAGCAATTCTTTTATGCATATGTATAATTTTCATTTATCATGCTTGTTTCTTTTTTGTTTCAGTTGCATTGCTACCATTTCTCTACTATTATTAGTCAATCAGTTTATTGTTAATTAATCAATAAATGAGAATTTTGCTTTTTATATGAATTACGAAATGTACGTATTAATTAGTATCAAGTTAACCATCCAATATGAAATATTTTGTAGGAAAAACATATAATAACTTATGTAAATAATATTTAATCATTTTCTTTCTATGTTCTCTAATGATAGATTGGAATATTTGTGCTAGTGAAATTATCAAATGATGTTAAATTTTGGAACATTTATTCCACAGAGAATAGAAATGTGAAAATCTTAACATAAGGAAAAGGATGAATTGTATTATTATATTAGAATAGCTACTGTTAATCGATGATAAACATAATCATACCACTGCGACATTATTATGTTCAACAATTTCATATTTTGAAATTTAATTGAATTGAGTGTTTGATTATTTTTGAAAGTTAAATTAAAGACGACAAATTTTAGTTCATTGATAACAAAACATAAAATTTTGTGCAAAAAAAAGCAACATACTTATACTAATTAGCCAGTCATTTTCTTATTGCAATTTTATCATATATTACATTCAGTTACAGAATTACAAGGAAATCAAACTGATTTGCAAAATGGATGAAATATACTTTGTTTGTGCTTATTGTAAAAAATACTTTTCTCTTTTTTGTAAGAAAGAAAAAAGTAATATTTTGAGAATTAGAATGTAACACAGTGTTGACTAGGCTACAATAATATATTCGTCTGTAAATTATAGAGTACTTTTGCGTAGAAACAATCATTATTATTTATGATTATTATTGTTATTGTTACTAATATAATAACAATAATAGTAACATAAAAGTTATATGACAATAATAATGTAATCATATCCTGTATTTATCATTATTATTACTTTTATTATTGTTAATTATTACTGTTATCAATTTTGTGCATGTAAATATAGTGCTAACTTTACTCATTTTAGTCGCTTACCATTCGCTTACGTTTACCATTAATAAAATAATAATATAATTAAAAATAAATAATAATAATAGTAATAATAAGAATAAGAATGGTAATAATACCATTGTATAGAAATGATTTCAAGCATATCAGTGTTCGTTTAATAAAAAATTTTTTTTTGAGATAATTTCCCGTAGTTAAATTAACTAATTAATTTTTTATTCAATTTTAATTTATTTACCTCAAAAAATTCTTTCCGTAATTAAATTAACTACATTCTGCTTTCAGTTTTTATTCTAAACTTTAATACAATCAAATATAGTAATCACTTCTTACTCAAATTGATTAATTACATCGATGCATCCGGTTGGTTTGATTGATTCAGCAATTTCCATCTTCAATTCATACTCTATAATTACGAATAATCACATTCATAACAATAAAAATTCAAGGTTTATTTGAATATAGATGCATTAATCTGCTTATATTTACAAAATTTTATATGAATGTAAATTCTTTTACTGAATTTTAATCAATATCATCACTAATTTTTTCTTTCTTTTGTAATTAATTAATCTGACTTTGGTCATTTTCATTCTCTTGTACCTTAAAATCAATGAATGCATCTATGTAGTTATTAAGTTTTTATCTTTATGTTTTACTATAAAATAAAAGTAAATAATTATTGTAAGCGCATTTGATTTAATATTTTAAGCACTCTCATAGTTAAATTCATATTAAATTGTCAAACGAAATTTTATAGCTTTTTCTTCCTTATTTTTCTGGAAATTAATCGCAATAAATATTTTAAACGTGTAGTGCGTCCACTTGTTCATTTATTGAATGATTTTTGAGAATATGCAAATAATTGAAAATTACCTTTTTTTTGCAATTTTTGCAATTTAGTTGGATTTGTCATAATGATAAAATTAAATAATAATGATTAATAATTAATAATAACAGAATAATAATAATAATAACAATAATAATAATAATAATAATAATAATAATAATATTAGTATCAATATTAACATTAGTAAATATTGATTAGTAAACAATACTAGAATTTACTTTTTAAAATCTCTTTCCTCCTAATTTTTTCATTCTGTTAGTTTTTCATACTGAATAAAGCTTAACATACATAGAATTTACTTTATGATTTTGATGCTTTTCTTTCTTTTTCTTTTTTCAACAAGCATATAGTCGAAGTAAAAAGCAATTCATTGGACGCAATATGGCATTTAGGATGGCAACAATCGATTGCTAACATCCATCCATCCATCCATCCATCCATCCATCCATCCATCCATCCATCCATCCATCCATCCATCCATCCATCCATCTATCTATCTATCTATCCGATTCATTCATTGAATCATTCATCCATATATAAACAAGTATGAAAAGGAATGAAGAAAGATGGAAGAAGGAATTGAGAGAGAAAAAGAAATAATAGTAATATTGATAGGTAGTGGAATTTTTAAAAAAGTATTCTACTTTATAGAGACGAGAAGAAAAGAGAAAGAGGAAAAGAAGACGAAGAAATAGCTAAGCTCTTTTAGTTTATACTTAGCCTAATAATAATCAAAAGCTTAGGCTGTTTTTTTTTTTCATCAATACTTTCTTCTTTTTTATTATCTTTCTTTATACAATTCTTTCTTTATTTACATTTTCTTTGTTATAAAATTTTCTGAAAAACAAAAATATTTCTTAAAAAAAGAAAAAAAAAAATGAACGCTTTAATAAAATAGGAAAAAATGAATGATCTTCCAACTGTTTAATTATAGATAAGTAAATTTCATCAAAAAAAGGAAAAATGACAGAAACAAAAAATAAAATAAAACTGATTGTTATTTTATTGCAATATAATTGAATAAATATAAATTACTTTATTATTTATTTCTTTTTTTTTCTAAATCTTTTTTTCTTTTCAGGTTTTCTTCTCTTCTTTTTTTCCTTCTTTCCTATACAATAATGATATCATCACTACTGCTACAATCAAATGGACATTATTGCTTTGTGCTATTTCTAACCATCTGTTTCATAACATCTGGACATTTCCTGTCCACCACCACCAGCACCGCCACCATCGCAACCACAACCACTACTACTACTACTACTACTACTACTGCTATCTATCATCACAATCATTCCAGTTATCGACACAAACAATTGCAACTGCAACTGCAACAACTGCAGCAGCAGCATCATTTACCAATCATTGTACCCGCGATATCACGATCACGTCAACACGCCATTACTCGTCGTGCTATTCAGTCACAACATCAGCATTTATCATTTACTAATGATTATCATTCTACTACTCCAACTCTTAAGCTCGTCAAGAAAATCAATCTGTTACAAGTAACTTCTTTCTTTTTTTAATTATTTTTTAAATTCTTGAAAAGAAGCAAATTTTATATTTATCTTTTTTCATTTCATTTCAGTCCTTTTACAATAATATTATATATATATATATATGAAAATTTAGTTGATCAAAAATTTAATTCATGAAATTTGCAAAATTTTGACAAATATTTTGCAAATTTTACAATTATTATTATTGCATTAAACTTATTAATTTAATTAAATGTTTCATTTTTATAGTATTGCTATATTAATTATATAGATTGATGAAGAATTGAAAGCTTTAAAAAGGAAACGGAAACGTTTACGGCAATTGCGCGAAGAAGTGCGTGAATTAAGTGAACATCTTAAAAACAAACGTACTAGTGGTAAATTTTTTTATTTGTTTTCATAAATTTTTATTAGCTTCAAAAAAAAAGGGAAAAAATAAAATTTTTGTCATATTTAAGTTCCTAAAAAAAATAAAAAATGGAAAATTGTTTGTTTTCAAATTAAAAAAAATTTGATAAAAATCTATCATTCATCCTTAATTATATATTTGAAAAAAGAGAAAAGTGATAGATATATTGGATTGTTTATATTCATTTTTCTTTTTCACTCATACCAAACTTAAATTTTCGGAATTTTTGTAAAACACTAGAATTCGAAAATTGCATATGAATTTTTTTAATTTACTTGAATTATGTTATTATTTTTGAAAAAGCTAATCGCAAATTCCTCGCAAATATTATCATTAAAAGCAATTTTTTAAACTGTTTTTTTTTCATTATTAAAATTTTATAAAGTTTTTTTTTAAAAAAAGGAAAAATACCCTACCCAAAAGTGTTAGAACGAAAATAAATTAGTTTTTCAGATAAAAATAAGTGCGACTACTCAAAATTAGCACTTCAATTAACGGTTTGTAAGTCTAATTAATTAAAAATAATTCCAAAAAAAATTAGTACGTTGTTGAAGAAAAACAAAAATAACATTCAATTTTTGTTTTCCTAATTTTTACAGACTTTTTGCATTACTAATTAATAACTCTGTTTACATATTGTTATATTATTTCAAATCATTATTGTATTATTTATTTACATATTGTTATTTAATTATGTATTATATTATTTAATAAATCTTGTCCAAAAATTTTTGCTTAACAAACTTACATTGAAGAATTGTTTTTTTTTTTTTTTGTAGGAAAAAATAAATGATTAATTAATTAATTAATAATTCGTTTTATAAAAAATAATTTGCTAAAAAACAGTTTCAGAATCTGTTTTTTAATCAGTATATTGTGACTTATGTACGTATGCTTCATATCGCTTCTGTATAATCAATAATATTAATTTCGCTACATAAACTTGTCATAAATGTTATTTTTCATAAAGACTTGAAATGAAGAATTTATTGAAGTTTCAAGAAATTTTAAATAAAAAAAAAAAAAAATAAACTAAACTATTTGAGGTAAAACGAGTAGCATTGATTTATTGGAGAAGCGTAAAATGAAAGAAAACCATATTCGATGGCGAAAACAAATAACCACACGTGTGAAAGCGATTATGAAACGCTTGAAAAGATTGGAAAATGAGGTGAAAATTGAGCCAAATTTTACCAAAGTCTTAGAAAAAGAAAAAATAAATTTACTTAATTTTTTCGTTTTCATTTTCTTTTCTTCAAGTGAATGATTTGAATTTTAAAAATTTCGAATATTTTAGATTGAACACAAAATTTTGTCAACTATTAAATATTTAATTAAATACGAAGTAATTATTTCAAATATTTTAAATTGATAAGAAAATGACTTGTAATCTTGAATATTTTTTTATCTGTTAAAAATTTAATTTTATTATGACATAATCGAACTAATAATAATCATATGTTTTTTTCCTTTTTTTATTGGAAAAAAAGTACATCAAAATTATTATTATTTTTTTTTTTTTTATTTCTTTAATTTAATTTTCATTAGGAAATTTAAATGAAATGAAAAAAAATGGCGCTCAAATAAATTTATCTTTTCACTGGTAGTTTTATTTTTTTATCTTTTTGCTTTTAAAAAAGGTTAATATATTTAGGGGAGGAAAAAATTGGCTAAGCATTTACAAATATCATCGTTGAATTTTGATGAACTACAATCATCACCTCATACATTACTAATTACAGAGAATAAAAATTTCAAGGTAAAATGTTATAATTAGAATTTATCTTATCTTCTTTAACTGTTGAATTTTTTTTATCAGTCAGAATAAAAATTGTTAATTTTAAATGGTAAAATATAAATGGTTAACATTTTGGAAAAAAATTAAAAAACGTTATATTGGTTTGATTTTTGATTTATTATTTAATGAAATATTAATTCAGATATGATAATATATGAATTAGCATTAGAAGTACTTCAATGATTACATCGCCAATTTGTTTTATATAATTAATTAATTTAGTGTGCTAATTGATAATATTTTATTATAGATTAAGCGGCTTCATTCATTTATTAATCAATCAAAAAACGGTGAATCCGGTGGAATTTGTCTTGGTCATAATGATTGCAAACCAGGTAGTTATTTGATTTGACTTTATTAAAAGTAACTTTAATAAAATATGCATTTATTGTTTTTGATGCAATTTGCAACTTGCATTTGCAAATTTTTTGCATACTGTAAAATTTCATACAAATTTTTTGATATCTTTTATTAGCTGAAATCATATTATCATTAATGTTAGCGAATTCCATTTATTCTCATTTAAAGTTTTTCCTGTTTCTTTTTTTCTACGACATAGTCAAATTTTTCCTCTTAAAATTCAAATAATTCAAACTCAATTTTAAGGCTTATGTTGTCACCGCTTCTCAACAATGGATGCAAATTCATCGATAACATCAACAGTTAACATATGTTATCAGTATATGTTAAAAGAAGGTGAATTTTGCGAAGATTCATGCCAGTGTGAAGCACGATTGAATTGCTTTCAAAATTCCAATCAATTAAAAGATGATAAGCATAATTTGGTACCATTTTTAATTTTTTTTAAACTATATTACTTTCTATGAGCAATTTGATTTTTTACACTGCAACTTTTTTTTTTCAATTGACTTCATTTTACAAATAGCAATTTTAATTCATTTAGGAATATTAAAATTAATTAGCAAAATCATTTGAAATAAATAATTTCAAAATCAAATAAATAAGGTCAACAATATTAATAAAGCAGCATAATCAACTGTATTCCGGAATCGTTTATTTGTCATAAAGCTACATTATAAGATAACTTTTCTTTTTTATAAATTTTGTTAGCGTGAGGTTTCATTTTTTTAAAAATTTAGATAAGGTTTCAGAAACCAAATGATACAATTAGGAAGGTAGGTGTTACATTTGTAAATAATATTCAATGATAAAACGTCTAATCATTATTTATTTATTTACTTGTTTACCGAATTATTTGTCTAATTTGCTAACTTATTTCAATAACAGTATGCAATTTGCAAGAAAGTTTCCACCAGTGATATTGTTAATGGAATATATTTGAATGCGAAAGATTCATCATTTCATATAAAGCCAACAGTACATCAACAATAACATATCATAACACATTATTCATTTGTTGATATTTCAATTATTTCATTTTTTCTCTTTTATTCTGCTTAATGCTTTTTTTATTTGTTAAAAAAATTAAAATATTTTGCAAATTATTTTACTTTTTGTTGGTTTTTTGAAAGTTAATTTATTAAATTGATGAATTAATTTCCCGTTTTTTTTTAAATTTTTTCTCATTTCTTCCGATGATTAATTTTATTTTTAAATTCAATCATATTTCATACGATTAGAAATTGTAAAAAGAAAAAAAATATCAAATATTAGAAATTTTCATGAAAATATTATTTTATTAAAATAATGATAATATTGTACACAAAATCAATTCATATTTTCAGTATAGCATAAATTAAATTGATATTGCAATTTGTTAAAATTATGTGACATGCGCATTTATTGTACAGCTATCGTTTTGTCCATTGTTAAATTTAATCATTTTATCATAAATGTTGTTGTAGATGTAGGTTTTATTATTAAATATATATATTTTGATTTAAAAATTTTACATTAGAAAAATTTTATTATTAAAATTAACTGAAATCATATAAATATTGAATTTTCTTTCTTTTTTTTTTGGTCGATTCTTTTTTATTTCAGAAATTTATTGCTTATTTTCATTTTACTACAATGACATTGTTTGAATTGAAAAAATAAGGCATATAGTAAGTAATTACTGAAAATTAGAATCTTAAGAAGTTCATAATTGATTTATTTACTATTTGTTTATTTTAGTTTAATCATTTTTTGAATACATTAGAACTGAATAAAAAAGGAAAAAGTTGAATCATAGCATTTCAGTCATTTTCTTTAACTTTTTATACAATTGGATATGAATAAATAATTTAAAAAAAGATTTTTTTTTATTATTTAAAATAAAAATTGTAAACAACTATTTTTGCCTAATAAATTAACAATTTATTTGTAAAATTCTTTAGGTATATACGCTTACATAGTGATATCGTTTTCTATACTAATCCGTATTAATTTGTTTATAAATTCTTTATACTAAATTTTAAGTAATTCTATTAGCTAAGTTTATCTTTATATCATGATGCATTAGCAACATAAAATGGAATTTTTTTTTTTGATTTATTAATTTGAATAAAAAGTTTATAATTGTTATTTTTTATTTAAGTTCGCTTAACAAAAATTAATTGTTTATTTATTTATTTTTTTTTTTTATGAAAATTTGTTTAATTTTTTCTGTCTTTTTTTCTCTCATTACCTTACTAATTAAAAAAGAAAAAATTAAAAACTAAAAATAAAAATGAGATATTTGGATGCATTTTGATCTCGTCATTGTACAGAGAGCTTCATCTCTTAAATTTAATTTGTTATCGTGTTGTGAATGTTGTTTCTAAGGTAATTTTTATACTTCTACTACGTTCCCTCTCTCTCTCTTTCTCTTTCTTTTTTTCAATCGTTATCATTCAGAATTATCAGTGATTATCAAATGAAACAAAGTTTTAGCATTAATGCTAGAATATTAGGTTTTATATCTTTTTAATCATTTCTTCTTTACTCCTCCTCATTTATCTTTAGTTAATCAATTAATTTTTTAATTTTCACTTTTGTTCTATTCATGAAATTTGCAAAAAATATTCGCTGTAAAAGTTTAGATATGATTTAGTTTAATCATTTTCTTTTTTGACTTTTTTTTTCACTCTGTTTTTTTCTTTCCTCAAAAAAAAAATCATATAGAAGTATGTAAGTTATTTTTGCAATGATGATAATTTGGGGTAGTTTTGATCGAAAAATTCAAAAACTTCTTTGCGATAAACTTTAATGAGCTTCGAAAAAAAATTTTATTTTTTATTTTTTATAAATTTATCAATAATATTTAATTCATATTATTTGTTAAATTATCATCCTTTCTAACGAATTCTTCTTATCAGTATTTTCTTATAATATGCGTTATTTTTATATATAGAATGTTAAAATAATAAATAATAATAATTACAAATTATTCTCTATTTTTAACGAAAAAAAAACTAATAAATAAGCCAGGAAAATTTCTATGAATTTTTTTTACGCTAAAGTTTTATGATAAGCTTTTCATTGGTTTTGCTAAATCGGTCAGTTTTCTTTTTCCGGTGATTTTTCACTTAAATTTTTAAAAAACAATTTAAATGGTGCAATGCTTTAAAGTTATATATAATCATTATTTGATAGGCACATCTTCTGAGTGCCTTTTTTCGATAAAAAGATGCTTAATATTTATTGCATATTTCATCTTTTTTTTTTTGTAGGAGCAGAAATTTAATTAAAAAACAATTTCTGATCTTTTTTTACCTTTAAAAATTTCTAGATAGTTAGTTTCTTTTTCTGCTTTTCCTGATTATCTCAATGATTTATTCTAATAATTGCATTAAATTCCAAAATTGAAAAATTAACTTTAAAACTTAATATTTCCGGCACTAGCCCATTTTTTTTTTTTTTCATTAAAGAGTACGATAACATTAATTTGATCATTGCTTTATAATTTTCATTTTTTATAATACTGGAATTAAAATGAAATGATTCTATTGATTAATTTTGCTGAAGTGATTAGATTAAGATTGATATTCAACGAAACGAAAAAAAAATAAATAAATATGTTTTCTTATATTATAAAATATTTCCATCGAATTGATTCTTTTCTTTTTTTATCCAATTTCATTCCCATTTTATCTCATTCGTTTGTCTAATTTAATAAAAAATAAATAAGAGAAAAAGAAAAAAGTTTTAACGATAAAATGTAAATAAATAAATATCTGATAGTAAACATAAATATGTTTTATATGAAACGATTTCATTAATTTTTATGCTCCTTTTCTTTTTTTTTTTTTTTTTTTTGTTCACAATGATTGTTCACAATGACAATTTAAAATAAATTTTGTTATAAAATATGCCACTTATTATTTTGACTTTAAGGATATATTTAATATTTGAATTCGATTGATTTAAATTCACTTAATTTATTATAATCAGAAATGAAGTCATAAATGATTTTAGCATATTTTATATTAATGTACTTAAAATTGATCATTCTTATTGATCTACGATTATTTTTTCAAATTTCTGAGTGAGTTTAATTGATATAAAAAATTTAATAAAATTCTGTATTATTTTTCGACTAATTTGTTATTTAAATATGTTTTCTCTAAAATATTTTTAATATTTTTTTTTTTTTGATTCTGTAAATTATATTAAAATATTTAATGATAGTTTTTAAGTTAAATTAATAATATTTATTGTGTTCTCGTTTTCTCCTCGTGTGTGTTGCATTCGTATATGTTTATATTTTTTTATTATGTTCTATTTCTCAGTTTCATTCACTCATTTATTTGTTTTTTTACTTACTGATTTATTTATTTATCTATTTATGTTTTCTATACCTTACAAATTAATGTTAATTCCAAAAATTCTCCATAATAGTTTTCACTGTAATTTCATTTTGTGTTAATTTTGATAATAAAAAAATTTTTTTTTTGCTGCTACTGTGATTTAAATACAAATAAAATAAACTAAAGTGAAAATGATTATTTCATTTTCAAAATAACTGATTAATTTTGAGTTAATATAAAACGTCAAAATTAAAGTGTAAAATTCAATCGATGACTAAGCTAATACTCAAACGAACATATGTATTTCTAATAGCTGGACATATTTTAATTAAAGAATAATTGGTAACTTTTTATTTAGGATAAAATTACCAATTAAAAAAGAAGAAGGAAAATCACAACGCAAAATTTTTAGTGAATATTTTAGCAGTTATTTTGATTATCATTTAGTATTGTTGATAAATTTATGTCTCTTTTTCATTTTTTTTCGATTTATAAAATATGTCATGATTAATAGGAAAATGAGCAAAAATTATCAGTTTTTATCAAATTTAGGAAAAATTTGATAAGATGGACATAGAAAATCATTTCCTTCTCTTCATTTTCTCTCTAACAGATCAGTAGTAAAACTTGCATTGAAATGCAAACTTATCGAATTATTATTTTTCTCTTCACTTTGTTTCTTATTCTCGAATCGATGATTATTGATGGCAGCAAACTGACGAAAAAGTATTGTCATTTTTATTTTAATTTTTTCATTATTTTTTTTTATTTTAAATTTTTTATTGGTTCATTAATGTTTGTAATTAGTTTAAATATTCAATAACTAACAAGTAGTGAAATGACAAAAAGTATTGTTTAGAAATTCTTCAGTACAAAAAAAAAAAAATAACAACAACAATAAAAAATACATTATAAAATAACATTATCAGCGGTGTCAGAGGTAGAAATTCATTTAAATATTTCCATTTGCGCATTTACTTTTGTAAGAATTTACAATAAATTATTGACAAAAAAATAAAAAATAAAATGCTTTTTGCTAAAATTTAATGCTTATATAATACTATTTCATTGTGCAAATATCAGAAATAAAAATGGACAAAAGCGCAAAAGTGCAATCAACATGGGCAGCTGTAAAAAGGATGAGAAAACGAAAATGAAAAAGATGGTTAACTTGAAAGAAGCTAAAGTAATTTATTCATTTAACTAAATTCGATAACAAAAAAAAAAAAGGGATCAGATAATAGAAATAATTAATTTAAATCAGTTATTTTATCTGAATAATATTTGTAAAACAAGATATTATCATTGTATTATTGCTTTTCTTTCATTTTTCTAATGCAAAAAAATATTTAAAATTTTCAAAAAAGTCTTTTTTTTTTTTTTGGAAAAAAAAATGTTTTATTATAGTTGCTTAAGTAGTTTTTTTCAATAAAATAAATATTTAAGTATATAAATATTTATGTTTAAATAATTAATCCTCAGGCAGTATTAGAACATGAGGAAGAAACAACAAAAGCAGGCCGACAGAAAAAGTGGAAGCCGTATATTACAAAGCCAAAAAGTTCAAAAGTGATTACAGCTTATGAAGAACGCAAGCATTTGTGTAATGCGAAGACAAAAGATGACTTAAACATAAATGAGGTTAATTTGATACATTAC